ATATGTAAAGAAGCGTCTCTAAACATGAATTAGGTAAATGCTTCAGGAGTTGATAATGAATATTATCATTTCCCGTTGCAGTGTCGTGCGCTTGACCAAGTGCAGTATTTAGCTCGTGGAGCGAAAATACCTCATTATAATCTTCTCCATTTTGAGAAGTAAAATCAATCCTCTTCTTTTCCTGTTGTTTCTGATAAGTTTGAAACTTGGGATCATAATTTGTCGATGAAGAGTGTTTGGCCAGCGTCTCGCCCAATTTATTAGCAATGTCCACTTTATCTGTTAATAAATGGTCACCTTCCTTGAGATGGTGGACAGTCGATTTTGAGCCTTTACCTTTAATTTTTGCAATCATGTTCCACACCTTGGATATCGGCGTGCGAGAATTTATTTTAGAGACATAATTTCTCCAAGACTTACGCTTATTCTGTTTGAACGTACGGCGGGCCTTGGCATTTGTGATTTTAACATGATCCAAATTATGTACAGTTGGATGTCGGCGGAAATATTTCTCCGCTTTTTTCCAACACTTTCTAGCCTGTTTGCATTCTAGATCAAACCATGGTTTTCGAATGTGTGGATTTGCAGAGGACTTAGGAATAGTTATCACAGCAATTTCATCAGAGAACAACTGAATAGGGTCGGTAACAGTTCTGAACATATCCGGTGTCAATCTATCGGTACAGAGTTCCTGAAAAGAAGGCCAGTTTGCCTTGGTAAAATTCCACCTAGATGTAGGTGGAACATCAGTTGGATTATTCGCTGTTAATATTGAGGGAAAATGGTCGCTGCCATACAAGTCATCATGGACCGACCACGTAAATTCGTTTAATAGATTTGAATCTGTTAGTGACAGATCTAAAGCAGAATAGGTTCCAGTAGCGGGATGTAAATAAGTATTTGATCCATCATTGTAAATGCATAAATTGTTATCAGAAATAAAATCTTCAAGTACTCTTCCCTTTTGATTAACGTTAACACTTCCCCATAATGGGTTATGGCCGTTTAAATCACCCACAATCATGCAAGGCTTAGGGAGTTGATCGTATAAGGATTGAAGATCCGATCTCTGAAGCACAGAGGAAGGAGAAATATACAAAGAACACAGGGTAAATGTAATGTGCAAAGTCAAGCGCACTGCAACAGCCTGAAGATTGGTATGAGGTGAAACAGGGCTGTGGATCACTCCCTGCTTCACCAAAACAGTAGATCCTCCAGTAGCTTTAGCCCCTGGTGGAGAAAAGGAGTGATACGAACTGTACCAACGCAAATCAAAGTTGTCAGTCTCTTTGAGATATGTCTCCTGGAGACATATTGCTGATGGCGTAAAATCTTGAATTAATAAATGTAATTCATTAAAATTGGTCCTGAGACCTCTGCAATTCCACTGAATCAAGTTGAGGGAGCCACTCATGGAGGCTCAACTGGGGATCTTGGTCGTGTGGAATGGTCACGCCCATGTACAGGGTGTGAAGGAGTGACGTCCATATCAAGTGGATCAAACGGATTATGAACCTTTACAGTAGGATCTAAAGGTTGGGGCACCTCCAAATGCTGGAGAGTCCTGGCCTGTTTTTTTAACTGTTTCTTTTTCTTTTTCTTTTGGTTAACTGTCTCAACTTCTTGCTCAGATGTTGGTTCAGAGGTTGGTTCAGATGGGCCTTGTGTTGGCATTTCTGTCTGAGACGCAGATGAACTGGTCTGTGAAGGTGGTGGCATAGGTGTATCACCAAGTGTGACCCGTTGATCAGTCACCCAAGATATGTCTGTTTGACAGGAAATGGATTTTGTCGTTACCTTGGGAACGGGAACAGAAGAAAGTGCAGCAGAATATGAGACAGTAGGATTTTGACTAGGATTGGGAAGTAATTTTTTCGCTTCAGAAAAAGAGATATTGTTTGTGTGTTTAATTTTGAGGAGTGTTGACTGATATTCAAATTTTGGGCAGGACTTTGACGATGCCAAATGTTGTCCATCACAGTTGGCACACTTGATGTCATTGGTGCACTCAGGGTTCTCATGAGCCCCACTGCAACGAAGGCATACATTATTGCGGGTGCAGGTGTTGGCACCATGGCCAAACTGTTGGCACTTAAAACATCTGAGTGGGTTAGGGATATATACCTCAACACCAATGTTAAAGTAGCCAGCTTTTATTGATGTTGGAATAGCAGAAAGTCTAAAGGTGAACAGATATGTATTTGTTTTGATGACATTGTTGTCCTGTTTTCTCGTGAAACTTTTCACGGAGGTAACTCCTTGATGTGTCAATGCTGCTGCAATTTCGTCTTCTGTCATGTCAGACAGACACTTCGCTCGGTCTCGAACAATTCCTCTGCAGGAGTTTAGAGATTTGTGCACTGAAACAACAACCTGGGTGTTAACAAACTGCTGGAGACCCAGCAGATTGACAGATTGTTGTCTCCGTGCACACTCGACAAGAAGTGAACCATTTCTGAGACGAGTTACATTTTTTACCTCTCCACAGACACTCTGAATGCCCTTGGAGACAGCAAAAGGATTAAGTTTGAGAGGATTTCCATCAGAAGAAGATATGACTATAAACCTTGGCCAAGAATTAGCAACATCTTGAGAGACATCTTCATCAGATGACAAAGAGTCCACATGACGACGTTTATTGGTTTTCAATGAACCAGAATTTGGGTTTTGTGACATGGTGTGAGAATAAAATTCGGCACCCCTGATCCCCACCCACCATGGAGTGTCAATAAAAAACGATGCCGCAGAGGAAGCCAGTCTACAACATCAGGGCTACAGGGGTGTTATACTCCAGCAAATACAACACGAATAGCTAAATTTGTCTACCAAAAGAAATGCCCTGCTGGTTCGGCCCATGACAGAACAATGGAGACATATAGAATTCGGAGGTTGACATCACCAGATTGGCCCATGAGCCACCGCCTTCTGGCATAGGACTCTAGGCAAGAATTAGAATTGCATAATTGGGATAACATAATTCATCATAGAAAATGGAGTATTATGATGTATCAAACGTGACAGTTTGCCATGCTCAGGGCATGACGTGACCAGCCGATTGATAGAACCGGGCCCATTCTACCACCCGTCTAGGTGAAGTAAGGGTCGAAGTGGCGTGTTGGGCAAAAGGAACACCGGTTCCTGGCTCCATTGCCCTCAACCACCAGAATCCCGTCCTCCACCGACACAGGGGCGCAACCCACGGCAAACAGGTTGCCCAATTCGGTCGCCTTTTACGACCAGCAATGGGGTGCTGTGGACAAATTCTACCCCGAGTCCACACGGGGGAAGAGCTATTAGCGCCACCCAGCACTCACCACGAGGAGGTTGCTCTTCACGAGTGCCCTTGAAATAGGGAACAAGAGACTGTGGAAATACACACCCGGACACACGTCCAACACCAACCTTTCTTCATCTACACCGAACTCACTCACTCTCTATTTAGATCATGAATTTTAGTTTCTATAAAAAAAATTCAACCACAGAATTTAATCAATAAGGAATTCGATTTCGAAAAATGGCTTTTTCATTGGGAAGTGGTCAGCGGTGCTTGACCACCTGATCCAGGAAATATTACCTACTACTAGCACAGAGTTGTTACATCCATGATTTAATTTGATGTATGATGATTCCTCTATTGTTATCCCTGACTTTATCATGGGGGTGCATAAAGATAAATGTTCACAGCACCTGTGCTTAGCTTGTGCTAAATCTATACAACAGTAAATTAGCCTTAGTATAATAATATAAATTAATGTAATTCCCAACATGTATAGGGGTAGAATACAACATACCTGATTTCCTACAAAGGTTGCACCTCACATGTCAAGGTGTATAATCTGTAACTGTTGGAATACGTTACATCCAGCGTCACTGGAATGTACATCGTGCATTGTTACATGCAGACTGGACACTGGATACATGCCCAACACAGGTATTCCTTCCTATTAAGAAGCCTTACTCGGAATGTTTAATTGTATAATTCAGTGTGAAAGTTTTCTGAAGTTGGGCGAAAGTGATATTTTCATTGCAGTGAACACAACACTTGATATTTAATTGTAGTGAGCATGACACTTCGACGGAACTATTGTCATACAAAGGTTTCCTCCCCGCAAATTGTCTCCCTTTAGCCCATACACAAACTGTTGACTTTCTATTTACGTAAGTTCCACATTGACAAGGCAATATAATGAAAGATGATCATTTATGGAGTTAATGTCGCTTCTTGCCGTTTGTTATTCTCTTGGAAATGTTTCGCTACATTTCTCATTTAACTCGTCAATCGAGACTGTTCATTTGGCAAAGCGCCATTTTTGTTACTTGACAAGCGTGTATTCCTTTGCTTCCAACAACGGTCTTGTAGCTTTCACGAATGGTTTTTGTTGAAGTTGATGTTGTTTATAATCATACCATTTCCAAATGTAGGATAAATAATTTTAGTGGCCTCAAATATTTGTTATTACCTTTTGTTTATTTTCATTAAGATTTTTTAAACAACTACTCGTAACAAACGTCCATCTAAAGAGAATTTACGTTTCGATTTTCTTAGGCATTTGGAATGAAAAATAAAATCCGGTAGACATATATGATGAATAAGATGTTCCATACACATGAAATATTCTCTTTATTCTGGGAGACTGAAACCGATAGTAAATGAAAATTGGCCGGATTCGAGTAGTCTATTTTCGTTCAGTTGGTGAGGGCGTTATTGCTTCAAATCCTGATGCGCAACTTTATATTAATTATACTTTAATTCCAACCAAACGGATCACCACAAGAATACAACTACTTGACAATACCTACTGCATAGTAACTATATATACAATAAGTCAAACACTATATATGATAAGCTGTTATTGTTACAGTTATCACCTCATGGAAATAACCCCAACTACAAAAGACATTTGCTATATTACCCGAAAAACGTAAATATGATGTGAAATAACCCTTCAATGCGTGCTGCCCTTGACAAGGTCATAGTTTGTCGGGAAAAGTCACAATGACCTATGACCTTCACCTTACAGAGCCGGCGAGTTTAGTCTTTACTTTCAATAATTCCTACATACCAATAACACGCAAGAATGACGGAAGTGCATCTGTTTTCCACATTGCCGTGCTACTGTTCAATGCAGTGCTTACACATATCATCGTACGTGCTAGCCAGCGGGAGAGAGGACGGGAGGGCGAATGCAATGCTCTCAGGGAACCTGCATGCTATCCGTGAATCCGGAGACTGAGGAAACCCGTGGTGAGTGATAATATCAACATTGGATATTTCTCAAATATTTTGTCAAATATCGACAAACACCATTATCCTCTGTGTTGTTCAAATGTGTTCTGGACACGCGCTGTACTGAGGAAGTCGTCATTATTTCAATTCATTAACCGCGAAAGCTGTAATTTTCCCCGCTGATCAGGCAAGGGTAGTCTGTCTGATTTGTTTTTACAAAATGTCTGTACATAAAAGCATTGATTAGTCATTTTCAGTTAATTATTAACCTCGCCATAATTTCGAAGAAATGCACCCAAACTAAGACGTTGATCTGTCTTGTATATGATATGGAATTATAGAATATTATCTTTTATATACCTACTTGCATATACATACAGCTCGTACGGCGACTGTTACATAATCATATTTAAGCGACTCTAATGGGAAATAACCAGTGGGGGCTGAATGTGTGTTAGTCATCATCTCGTGTTGAAGCTCATGTGATTGGCAGGCTGAAGGAAGGTCAGATCAATCCGTCATACTGCTTGGCGATATATGTCCCAGTCAACAAAACAAATAAAATGTAACTACTGGACACAGACAGTTCTATTAAGGAAGACCTTAAAGGGGCACTGATCTAAATCCATTCCCCCGGGACTGGTTGTTGCCTTTGTTATTGCTTTTCCCCGCGAGTACCCGGATGATATAGCAGAAATCTAGATTAGACTAGTTCGCGACCTGTGCTGCGCCATTCGTAAGCGCATTTGTCACTTTTATTGATAGTATCCGGGCGTATGGTCACATTGATCAACAAAATGAAATACAGTTTTGGAAATAATAAGGAAATGTAGGTATCGGTAATGGTGACGAAGTCACTTGCTTGGGAATTGTTCGATTCTCGTTTGCACTATTTTACCTTGCAACACAAAGTAAACATTTCACCTGAGCATTGCTTATTCTATCGTGTGTATATTTGTAAAGTCAAAATGTGTAACATTTTCACTTAGGAAATTTATTAAACGCCTAAATATTCAGTGAACTGACTGAAAAATAAGTATTATTATGATAACGAATTCCGATTTATTTAGGATGTTAGGATGAAGTAAATTTCTATATTGCTTGGTGTATAATGCTAGCATAATTAATCTATTGTGATGTTTGTAAGCCCTTTGGAACGTCCTAATCATTTTTAGTCAATCTGTTAAATAAATGGACCGATTTTTTCAATGTATTTGTAAAATATTTAGCCATTTTATAAATTGCCTGAGTGAATCACATATACACGCTTACAAATGAAAAGACCTCGTGAAAACAACGTCTATCGCGCATCGAAGAACTTCCCAACCAAGACTAAGAGGAACAAGAATAATTTTGTTCAATGCTACAACAAATGAATGAAAACAAAATGCAACTATCATATAAATATATATATAGCGTTTCGGGTTATTATAACCCGTGTTCTTTTTTCAACTGATCACTCAGTTTGTTTCAGTTGTTTCACATAGGTGTCAAGTCCCAAAGGTCAGCCGAGAAAGCCCACGTGACAACTATTTTAATAATGTCCACGGTTCTTTACAAAGTTAGATAGAAATGAGCAATCACTCAACGTATTATCGGTTTACCCTTTGAACAAAGTATGTTGTTTTTACAAAGGCACTTGAAGTCATGATGTAAGTGTAATCCGTCTGCTTTAGTAAACCTACACATCTAAACACTTACTTTTGACATATATCCACTGGGCAAGACAACGGTGATTAATCAGTCAACGTACTTTTCTGTTGATCCTTTGATGGCTAGGAATCATCCGTTGATTTACAAAAAAGTAAATCAACTGAGCATTCATCTCTTGCTGGGCTGGCTGCCACGTGCATTACACATAACACATAACACACATTTCACCTCACTTTAAATCTGGATTTGGATTGAATAATTACCCAAGACACAATGCCAAATGGGAACCTTTATCGGCTATTCTGAGTGGTGCTACCACTAATTATACCTGTAATAAATTCATTAACTGAGCATCAAGTGAATGACGACAAATACACATGTGTAGGGTTATACCAGAAAACATGGATGACAACAAGGGAGTAGTAATCGTATTATCCACGCAATCCGAAATCCGAAAATGCTTTCACTGCAGGGATACTTTTTTATTATCAAACTATAACCATCAGGCGTATTTTCTAAATAACGACATCCGATGAGCTACTACAGAAGCCAGAAATCAGTGCCCCTTTAACTGGACCGTAGGGGCCGTTATGTTAATATGCAAATTACTGGTGTGGCCAAGGAACGCAACTCCACACAACGGAATGCGACCCCAGATGACTGAGATGTTTGCTCTGTAGTAAACGGGTTAACTTGTACTTACTTAGTCGAACACAACCAAACTTTTAAATAAAGTTGTCCTTGCTCGACATGTGACATTATTGACTTTGGACTTTTTGCTACTTTTTCTTCGGTTAGAAGAACGAGTCCTCCCTTTTCTGACAACTTATGTGTATTTGTTCATTTCGTGCAGGCTCGTAAGAACGGGTGGGTGGGGGGGGGGGGGGGGGGGGGTAAAGGGGGTTGAGAGGCTTAGCACACACACACAAGCACACACAAGCACACACACACACATCGATACACTGTTAGAAGCACGACAATTTAGGATTTCTTTGTCTGTTTCTATCACAAGTTCTGAGTGCTGTTGTTTTAGACTTGTTTAAATAATCGTCAAATGTAATTACTTAACATGAAAGGTTTCGAAACTGTCGCTAACCACAACATTGTAACCTACCTTTCTTATTAGCATGCATGCGTGCTGCTTGAAATCCATATGTATGAGCTGTATTTAATTAATCTTTAGGTAAGATCATATAGAAAAACTAATTCTGGAAAAAACAAGTTCGAGCAGTTGCCCCTCAATTACCAAAAAAAACATGAAACCAATGTGTTCAACTCCAACACATGGTATGTCGCTTCACAAGAACTTTCAAAATGAAATACAGTTTAATGCTAAGGTTTCTTTCAAGGAATTGTTTCCATGCAACCTGTCATGCCCCGTCTTTTGGTGACATTGTAGACTAAACAACTCATATACTGACAGCAGGCAATCTACCAGTAAGGATAGTAAATTTCGTGTTGACTAACCTTGTGGACGCTGTTACTAATTACGTTACTAGAGTTCACTAGACATTTGTCTTAGTATAGTACGTGATATACATCTTCATAAGGGTGGTTACAGAATGGACAGAATGTATTCTCCATTGCCGCCTTTGAATCCAAATCTAGCTGTTCTAATGCTAAAAGCATGTACATTGCATCAACATTTCGTTAAGATTCGACGGAGATGCACTGATGTTTTTGCATGAGACAAGTCTCAGATACAATAGAACTTTTGAAATCAGAATGAAAATGTACACAATTTGATTTTCGTACACTCATGAACCATTCTGGTTGATACGAGGGCTTGTCAAAAAGTTCTGAGCCTAACAGAAAAAAACCGAACAGCAATTTTCAACATAATCTCCCTGCTTTTCAATGCACTTGTCATATCGATATTGAAACTATTCAAGTCAGGAAGAAGTTTTCTGAAGCCACCCTGAAAAACCCATTACGTGCAGCTTTGAGGTCATCGTTGTCGTCATAGCGCTTTCCACGAAGGTGTTCTTTCAGTCAAGGAAACAGGTGGAAATCACTTGGTGCCAGGTCTCGCGAGTATGGAGGGTGAAGAAGTTCATCGAACCCATATGTCGCACATCAATTCGAGAAGAGGCACTGTCATGAAGTAGTAGAACTCCAGCAGTCAGCATTCCTCGCCGCTTTTCTTTGATAGAATCTGTCAGGCGATGAAGCAAATCAGCACTGTAGGCACTGGTAATCGTCTTTTGACTTTCTAAGTAATCAACAAGGACCACACCCTTTAACGGCCATAACTTTCTTCACTGATCTTGAAGACTTGAATTTCTTTTGTGCTGGAGAAGTGGAATCTCTTTTTGAATTTGACGAAATCCTCCTCAATTAGCTCTAAATTTTCTCTGGTATAGTCAGATTTTTTTCCCTTACGAGCAGAATTTAGAAACTTTGGTGACGTCAATCCATTATTTTTCAGGAATGGAGAGCTGTTTGTCAACTGTACATACTCTTGAACCAACATTTCCACTTGGAATAGACGGAACTATTTTATATATAGTGAATTATTTCATATTTTGCCGAAAACATTTTTCGCCGGGGAGGGGGTGTCGAAGCCGCATTGTTTCATTTGAGAACGTGTAATTGTCAACCTGATCAGGTACGGCGGCACATGAAGGTATGGTGTGAAATTAACTATTAAATATTTTCATAATTTTGCACAATGCTTAAAAGCTCAAAATGATATGTATATATTTTGTGTTAGAGCAGGTTACCTACGACAATGTTCATATTTATAGCATTTAGATAAACCTTTGACGAGAAAAAACAAATAAGGTAATATAAATATCCCTATCCCTTTTGTAAGGAGTGGAGAGTTACTCGGACATTCCCCTCTGTGTATACGTTTTTCTATCTTCTTAAAGTTGACGGACGTCCAAACCTCGGATCAAATTCAAGGTTTGTTCTCCAAGTCCTTACGTTGGAATAGTTAGGGCACTTATCCCCATACACTTGTGATATGCGGTCATGAATGTGTTGATGACTGCTCGGTACTCGTTCTTTTCCATTTCTTTTTCCATTTTGGCCCCTATCACGTTCAACTGGCAGTCACTAATATACAAACGTTCTCATCAGACCAAATACACTTGCAATGAACAACTCAAATAATGTACTACACTGACTAGTTCACTTTGTTATGGCCCTTAGTTGAAAGTTAGTCAGGTATATAATTCTTTCACCAGCCCTCGTACAGATCTCTACACCTTGGCTTAATATTATTCAGAAATACCCCTCTGTCACCTACACCTTGTGCAAGCCAGACATGCCCCAATACATATACCGCCCCGATTGTTTCAATATCATGGGTCCGTGTTCATGGTTGTTGGGTTGGAGAAATCCATGTCGAAATCCAGTCGAGCCTGGGTTGTCAAAGGGGCATCATATCCATTATTCCCGGTAAGGGATGTTTGTTGGGCTCGGCTCAAAGCTGATCTTGGTTAGGTCAGACTGTTGTCAGATGGGCAACAGTGGAAACTAGTCCCAGTAAGGGACCTTGAATTTATATTTAACAGAACCAACTGTTAACAAAAGCAAACAATATGTCTCCACTGTTTGGGAGACGATTGTTAATACATTTGTATATACTTATGGGTTAATTAAAGGTGTAAAAGTTAATTTTGTCTTGTCATTTTGGATGGTTAACTAATCATCACTTCAGTTGTTGGTAGTCGAAAAGCCACGTTCAAACAACAGTTTTGTGGTTATATTACTTGGTAAGAAATGTCTTACGCTGAATATGCGGGCACACACATTTTTATTTATTTCTGAATGCAAACATTTTCCTGTTTTCATACAGACCTATTCAGAAGATGATTGCAGTTCTCCTGGTTGTTGTAGTGGGTGTACTGACAGTTATCTCGCTTATTTTGAAACACCTGGATGGCAGACGATATCTTCAGATTCCCGCCGCGCCTCGTCGCCTACCGTTTATTGGGAATGCCTTCAATATGGACATGTCTCAAGCACATTTAGTATTGACAGAACTGGCGCAACAGCTTGGTCCAATATTCCGTATTAGGATTTTTAAGGAAGAAATAGTTGTTCTGAATGATTATGACACAATAACAGAGGCCCTCGTCACAAACGGACGAGACTTTGCAGGTCGTCCTCCTATGGCAAGGACCGAAGAGGCAGGTAGATCCTCCCAGTCCATCGTCTGGCAGACGTACACCCCAAAGCTTGTATTCCTACGCAAAGAAGTACACAAGTGTCTCAAGATGTACGGGTCTGGTTTTGAGACGTTGGAGGAGAAAAGTGCTCCTGAAATAGCCCATCTGGTTGATGTCATCGAACAGACAGAAGGCCAGTCATTTGACCCATGGAATAGTGTCTATGACGCGGTATCCTGCATCATGCTTAGTTTGGTAAGAACGTGTGTGAACGACTGACGCTTGATAGAGACGTTTATAGGCCTACCTATATAGTTGTGTATGTGTTTGCAAATGTCTTTATAAAGTGAGCGCATTGTGAACTGCTTTGATTTCAGTTGCATCACACCCTGACAGATTAGTGTACGAGGGGTTAAGTGAGTGAGTGAGTAAATATTGCTTTAAGCCTCATCAGTATTGCAGCTATTGTGCGAGGGGTTTAGAGTATGAGATTCTCACGGCATGGTCAACGTCCACAATGCTGCAGACGAGGTTCGATGCCTCAGACTACAAGGCTACTCCTCGTCACAAACATTCAGCAAATGCTCGGTTTTTATGATATTACAAGTATTATCAGTTCCAAATGATGATCCTACATAATAACGTAACAGATATGTGACACGTCTGTCTTTCCTGTCCTTTTCAGATTCTAGGAACTTCAAACAAGTTGTCGGTCCCATGTCGACGGAAGCTGCAAGAGATTAATTTCCTTTTTAACACAACATTCGGTTCCGGTAGTGCTCGTTGGATGGACTTACTGCCCTGGGCAAAGTTTTTCCGTTTTGAAGAACATCAAAAACTTCAGGAGGCCTTAAAACTGAGGGATGATTTCTGGACTAACGAAATAATATTGCAGGTAAGTGAGAGTACTTGGATATAATCTGTTGTCTGTTTATAATAATAAAGCGACAAAACCCTTTCCATATCCAATAGAAATCTCTGCATAAAGCAGAGTCGATTGCACGATTCCGACTATACCACGAGAATGTGTTTATAAATCACTATCAATTAGTAATGGATGTGTAGAATTTGGTGTGAAGTTCAAGATCATTCAATGTAATTAAGCAGAACAGCTATTACTATAATGGTCCCACTGACACTGAAGAGTTGAAACACTTTATACAGTATATGTCAATGCGTATATGAAACATGAGAGATTAAAGATCAAAGATGTTTCCAGACACGGGTATGGTGCTGACAAACCACGGATCACAATCCCTGATCCTGGCACATCTAATGGAGACATCACTGAACAGCGATTAGAAGCATTCGAACACTGTGCCACCTGTGACATTGAATACATCCACCTCATTTCCCATAGAAATCAAGATCATAATAGCAAAATCATATTAACTGTAATACTACTGATGAAACTTGTTACATAGGGTCGGGTGAAGTTATAAGGCCAACTTCTCACAACAGTATCCGATATGGAGGTGCTCATGTATCCCATGTATTTTCATATTTTCAGGGAATATATCAAGGCGTTGTTAGAAGGATGTTATTTTTTGCCGAGAGCAAGGGTGAATCTGAATACGACATATCCGAGAACACGGCAAAAGAAGTGTTCACAAATCTGATATTAGCAGGTATGGCTCACTCTATAGCGTAAGTCCTTAACTCTTCTCCCTTTTAGAAAGTTCCAAGAAAACCTAGGTGTGTGTGTGTGTGTGTGTGTGTGTGTGTGTGTGTGTGTGTGTGTGTGTGTGGTGTAACAACAAGTACCATTAACGTCTTTTCGTATGATGCGGCCGTGGATCGATCGCCCGATCTTCTACGCATGCTCTCGGGGCAGACGCTCTACCATAAGACCACGGTCGCGGTCCTTTGTCTTTGAAGCCATTGAGACCTTACATATTCAGGCTATTTCACAACCATGCATACAGCCTACTTCCTATACCTCAACACGATTCGGTTAACTGGATGAATAAGCGTAGACACACATGACCACTACAAAAGTGATGTATTCGACAAGAGTGAAGCTCCCTGTATTATTGGCTTATTAGATTTTGATAACCTTTGTCCGTGATGTCTCATTAGTTTCCATCCTCTGTGTGCTACCTCCTACTACTCTACAACTATTGAATAGGTTATCTGCTGTACTTGCAGGGACCGACACGACCGCTACTTCTCTGACCTGTCTTCTCCTGTTCCTTCTCCATCACCCGGATGTACAGACCAAGCTGCACACTGAGTTAATGGAGGTTGTGGGGCCAGGGCGTCTGGCCAATCTGTCGGACAAACAGAACATGCCCTACACTCAGGCCACACTATGGGAACTCTTAAGGATCATTGGCCATGTGCCCCTTTCTGTTCCACACTACACCCTCTCAGACACTAGCATACAGGGGAAACATGTTCCTGCAAATACAACAGTGAGTTCCTTGCTCATGTAACAACATACTTTTCCTGTTATAACCAACCTGACACCAGTCAGACAAGGCGACTGCCTTTGCAATTGAAGATTTTAGTTTTGTAAGTTGTTTAACGCCGCACTCAGCAACATTCCACCTATATGTTCGCGGCCTGTAAATATTCGAGTCTGGACCAGTGATTGACATCATGAGCATAGATCAACGCGATTGGGACCGATGACATGCATCAACCAAGTCAGCGTGTCTGACCACCCGATCTCGTTAGTCGCCTCTTACGACAAGGATAGTCGCCTTTTACGACAAGCATGGGTTGCTTTATAGACCTATTCTACCCGGGATCTTCACGGGTCGCAATTGAAGAAATTAGCTAAACCGAATATGATGCAATTGAAGAAAATAGCTACACCGAATATGATTGTGTCTCCTTTACCCATTCCTGACCATGTGATTACTTTACCCATTTCTTGCCATGTATCTCCTTTACCCATTCCTTGCCATGTCTCTCCTTTACCGAATTCCTTGCCATGTGTCTCCTTCATTCCTTGCCATGTATTCCTTTTCCCATTCCTGACCATGTATCTCCTTAACCAATTCCTTGCCATGTCTCTCCTTTACCCATTCCTTGCCATGTCTCTCCTTTACCCATCCCTTGCCATGTGTCTCCTTTACCCATAACTTGCCATGTATTCCTTTACCCATTCCTGACCATGTATCTCCTTAACCAATTCCTTGCCATGTCTCTCCTTTACCCATCCCTTGCCATGTGTCTCCTTTACCGAATTCCTTGCCATGTATTCCTTTACCCATTCCTTGCCATGTATCTCCTTTACCCATTCCTTGCCATGTATTCCTTTACCCATTCCTTGCCATGTATCTCCTTTACCCATTCCTTGCCATGTCTCTCCTTTACCCATCCCTTGCCATGTGTCTCCTTTACCCATTCCTTGCCATGTATTCCTTTACCCATTCCTGACCATGTATCTCCTTAACCAATTCCTTGCCATGTGTCTCCTTTACCGATTCCTTGCCATGTCTTTCCTTTAACCATTCCTTGCCATGTCTTTCCTTTAACCATTCCTTGCCATGTCTCTCCTTTACCCATTCCTTGCTATGTCTCTCCTTTACCAATCCCTTGCCATGTGTCTCCTTTACCCATCCCTTGCCATATGTCTCCTTTACCCATTCTTTGCCATGTCTCTCCTTTACCCATCCCTTGCCATGTCTCTCCTTTACCCATTCTTTGACATGTATCTCCTTAACCCATTCCTTGCCATGTATCTCCTTTTACCATTATTTGCCATGTATCTCCTTTACCAATTTCTTGCCATGTCTCTCCTTTACCCATTCCTTGACATGTCTCTCCTTTACCCATTCCTTGCCATTTCTCCCCTTTACCCATTCTTTGCCATGTGTCTCCTTTACCCCTTCTTTGACATGTGTCTCCTTTACCCATTTCTTCTCATGTATCTCCTTTACCCATTCCTTGCCATGTCTCTCCTTTACCCATTCTTTGACATGTATCTCCTTTACCCATTCCTCGCTATGTATCTCCTTTATCCATTCCTTGCCATGTATCTCCTTTACCCATTCCTTGCCATGTCTCTCCTTTACCCATCCCTTGCCATGTGTCTCCTTTACCCATTCCTTGCCATGTATTCCTTTACCCATTCCTGACCATGTATCTCCTTAACCAATTCCTTGCCATGTGTCTCCTTTACCCATTCCTTGCCATGTATTCCTTTACCCATTCCTTGCCATGTCTCTCCTTTACCCATTCCTTGCCATGTCTCTCCTTTACCCATTCCTTGCCATGTGTCTCCTTTACCCATCCCTTGCCATGTGTCTCCTTTACCCATCCCTTGCCATGTGTCTCCTTAACCCATTCTTTGACATGTCTCTCCTTTACCCATCCCTTGCCATGTCTCTCCTTTACCCATTCCTTGCCATGTATCTCCTTTACCCATTATTTGCCATGTATCTCCTTTACCTATCCCTTGCCATGTATTCCTTTACCCATTCCTTGCCATGTCTCTCCTTTACCCATTCCTTGCCATGTCTCTCCTTTACCCATCCCTTGCCATGTATCTCCTTTACCCATTCTTTGACATGTATCTCCTTTACCCATTCCTTGCTATGTATCTCCTTAACCCATTCTTTGCCATGTCTCTCCTTAGCCCATTCCTTGCCTTGTATCTCCTTAACCCATTCTTTGCCATGTCTCTCCTTTACCCATTCCTTGCCAAGTGTCTCCTTTACCCATTCCTTGCCAAGTGTCTCCTTTACCCATCTTTGCCATGTGTCTCCTTTACCTATTCCGTGCCATGTGACTCCTTAACCCATTCCTTGCCATGTCTCTCCTTTACCAATTCCTTGCCATGTGTCTCCTTTACCCATTCCTTGCCATGTGTCTCCTTTACCCATTCCGTGCCATGTGTCTCCTTTACCCATCCCTTGCCATGTGTCTCCTTTACCCATCCCTTGCCATGTCTCTCCTTTACCCATTCCTTGCCATGTGTCTCCTTTACCCATTCCTTGCCAAGTGTCTCCTTTACCCATTCCTTGCCAAGTGTCTCCTTTACCCATCTTTGCCATGTGTCTCCTTTACCTATTCCGTGCCATGTGACTCCTTAACCCATTCCTTGCCATGTCTCTCCTTTACCAATTCCTTGCCATGTGTCTCCTTTACCCATTCCTTGCCATGTGTCTCCTTTACCCATTCCGTGCCATGTGTCTCCTTTACCCATCCCTTGCCATGTGTCTCCTTTACCCATCCCTTGCCATGTGTCTCCTTTACCCATTCCTTGCCATGTATTCCTTTACCCATTCCTGACCATGTATCTCCTTAACCAATTCCTTGCTATGTGTCTCCTTTACCCATTCCTTGCCATGTCTTTCCTTTAACCATTCCTTGCCATGTGTCTCCTTTACCAATTCCTTGCCATGTCTCTCCTTTACCCATTCCGTGCCATGTGTCTCCTTTACCCATCTTTGCCATGTATCTCCTTAACCAATTCCTTGCCATGTGTCTCCTTTACCCATTCCTTGCCATGTCTTTCCTTTAACCATTCCTTGCCATGTCTCTCCTTTACCCATTCCTTGCCAGGTCTCTCCTTTACCCATTCCTTGCCATGTGTCTCCTTTACTCATCCCTTGCCATGTGTCTCCTTTACACATTCCTTGCCATATGTCTCCTTTACCCATTCCTGACCATGTATCTCCTTAACCAATTCCTTGCCATGTCTCTCCTTTACCCATCCCTTGCCATGTGTCTCCTTTACCCATTCCTTGCCATGTATTCCTTTACCCATTCCTTGCCATGTATCTCCTTTACCCATTCCTTGCCATGTATTCCTTTACCCATTCCTTGCCATGTATCTCCTTTACCCATTCCTTGCCATGTCTCTCCTTTACCCATCCCTTGCCATGTGTCTCCTTTACCCATTCCTTGCCATGTATTCCTTTACCCATTCCTGACCATGTATCTCCTTAACCAATTCCTTGCCATGTGTCTCCTTTACCCATTCCTTGCCATGTCTTTCCTTTAACCATTCCTTGCCATGTCTCTCCTTTACTCATTCCTTGCCATGTCTCTCCTTTACCCATTCCTTGCCATGTGTCTCCTTTACCCATCCCTTGCCATGTGTCTCCTTTACCCATCCCTTGCCATATGTCTCCTTTACCCATTCTTTGCCATGTCTCTCCTTTACCCATCCCTTGCCATGTCTCTCCTTTACCCATTCCTTGCCATGTGTCTCCTTTACCCATTCCTTGCCATGTGTCTCCTTTACCCATCCCTTGCCATGTGTCTTCTTAACCCATTCCTTGTTATCAAAGGTGCTTAAAACCGGGTTTCATTTTTAAAATGAGTGATCACCACGAAGACCAACTCTCGGTGGTGACAAAGTATAATATTACGCCTTGGCAGTCTGGTGGTAGGTCTTTGTTATCCATAACCTTTGTTATCCGGTGTCATGGTTTTACACATGTTTTCACGTGTCTGTCATATTGAAAAATGCGGTTCGCTTCCTGACTCACCTAATTTGTGCTGAAGGTATACATTAACCTATGGGCCCTGCTACATGACGCCACCTTCTGGGAGAGTCCGTGGGAGTTCCGCCCTGAGAGGTTCCTAGACAGTACCCATAGACTCCTGCCACCTAGTCACCCATCCAGACGCAGGTAATTTGCTTGTGTGTTTCATCGTCCTATGTATTCCTGCGGATGGAACTCTGATAGCCATCGAATGTTCTGCCTAGCATGATCAGCATAATGGCTCCGATATTTGACGATCTGTTCACTTGATCCCTGTGGGGAATCTGGTGCAGGTTCCCAGGGTTCCATACTATCGGGACCAATTACGAGATGAGGTTGATTGTGCCCGTTAATGAAGCTATGAAATAATTCAAAATTCACAAAAGTTCCTGTGACATTGAATAAGATTTAATGCAAAGTTATGTTTTTACCCTTTTCACGAACGCCTGGTGTCAGCACTGATTTTCAGTGATCCATTCATATAATCTTTCACCCCTATTTTGCCCATTTATACTAAATATTGGTAAGAAGTTTGCATTCAGTATGGATGGAAAGGAATGGATGCCAGATTGGGTGCGTGTGTTCTGTATGTTTTTGTGTTTTCTTTACTTCAGAATGTTGGCATTTGGGGCTGGTCGCAGGGTTTGTCTAGGAGAGGCAATGGCCAAGAACAGACTCTTCTTGTTCGTGACAGCGTTGATCCAGAACTTCCAGTTTGAGCCAGTAGAGGGCGAGTCCTTACCAGATGCCGACCCTCGGACCTTTGAGATGGGGCTTGTGCTTCACCCTCACAAGTTCAAGTTGTGTGCTAAGTCAAGACGTTCCTCGCCCCTATAAACACAGGAAGTCAGCTAGCGATCAAATCTTCTCAGTTCAGCATTGCAATGGACAACTTATATGTTGGAGATTGCCTCCATTTAAGAAGTAAAACTGTAGTGTTCACAATATATGAACTAAGGTGAACAAAGGAAACCAATACAAAGTATATGTCTCATTCTGAGGCTGAGGTTCTATCAAACAGTGAAATGTGCATTTCTGGGTAAAGACGATGATTGCCTACAGTTGAATATTGGCCTCCTCTGTACAAGGCATTGTACAGGTCAACATGTTTATGCGAGTTCGATAAAACAGAAAATCAGTTATGACTTTTTAGTGTTTTTTTATTGTGTTTGTGAATTTGTACGTGTCTCTATACGCCAGACACCACAGACAAGGGACACTTTAAATGGGCTGCACTCGATTTGTTCACCTAGAGAACCAAACTTGAACCATCATAAATGATACATTTCTACATGTAAGCACATAGCATGATTAAACAGACTGACGGTAGTTGATGCAAGACGATTGCAAGTTGGCGCTCTTCCGAAAGGAGTTACTACAGACAGGAACCCAATCAAATTCGCCCCAGTACTCCATGCTTGTAATAACAAAATGTAGACGGGATGACAATGTGTCAACAACTGGTTGTTGTAATCATTGGACACTGCTCAATGAATAACTGGTTTCCTTCTGTCCAGACTGACTTCTTCCAGTCTCTCACCAATCGGATATCCTCTTTGATCACATAGCTCTGACCAATGGTCAAGATGAATATGGTTTTACGCCACTTTTAGCAATATTCCAGCAATACCACGGCGGGGGATACCAGGAATGGGCTTCACACATTGTACCCATGTAGGGAACGAACCCGGGTCTTCGGCGTGACGAGTGAGCGCTTTAATCTTTAGCTACTCCACTGCCCCGTGAATACGAGAATTACTGAATGCAAAGGGTATGTATAAAGAATGACAACCATAGTGTAAAGGTTTGGGTTTGTAGTTTCTGGCCGCTGCACGTCCTTACATTGAACAAAACTGTGAACCAAGGAGTATTTGCGTTCTGACTATTTACTAAAACAATCATCACCATAAGGTTCGCCGGTTTCTGATTGGAAAACGTTTGAAGCGAGTGCAAAATACACATAGTAAAATAAGTTCACATTTAGTCAAGTGGCAGGGTCAACCTTTTATAAAATAATATTCACGTTTGACCTCTTTCAACTTGGAAAAGGAATCAGGAACACTACCGACACTGTATGAAGAGATTATGCAGTCTTAATACTGTTTGTCAACAGCAAGCTTGTGTCAATTATTGATGACTTACAGGGGTTCATTGTCACGAAGCTCGATAACAGACTCGACTTGGTGTGGTGTGCGGGGTCTCGGGGGCCTCCAGTCCGACACCTGTACAAACTGCCGTTCCGTGCGAGACGATATAATGCTGTAACTCACAAGGCAGTGAGGGGTTTTCCGATTCCCGGACCCGAGTCTTTCCAGACATGCCCGCACTGTCGCTCGGGCATACAAGAATTAACACAACGCCTGGTTTCAGGTCTTTGAAAGGCATTTAGAAGTGATACACATAAGGAAGAGAATGTATGGATGTCAACTTCGGAGTATATGCTTACTCCTTCATCAGGTGATTCTGGCAGCAAGCAGGAGTGAGCATATACAAGAAGTTGACATCCATACATTCTCTTCCTTAACGACTGGTTTGATGCATAAGATTCATTCAGTCCACGCACAACAGAACCAAATGGACATGTCAGGCTAGTTATGGAATAGACAAGTTGAGGCAAGCGACACACGCCCGCTTCGGCCAACACCACCTGAGGGGGACTTGTTAAAAAGCTTATCACTTGATTGTCCTATATTTTTGTCGTGATGGGACAATCCAGTCCCCGGTCATGACTTGGCTGTTGTCGACCGATACACACCAGGTTTAACTATACTGAACTACAAAAGTTCCTGTGACATTGAATAAGATTTAAAGCAAGGTTTGTTTTTTACCAAATCTGAAACAATTTAGGTTTGCAACAGATAAAAAAAAACTCCTGTAAGTGTTCAAATGGTTTAATTTGCCATCCTGACTTCAGATAATGCGTGATTTCATAAAAAAAACACATGAACATGCCAAAATGTCAATTTACAAATCAATAGCGTGTGTCCACCTCTGGTTGCGATGCAAGCAACACATCTTAGTCTCATGGAATGGACCAAGCGTCGCACAAAGTCTTGTGGGATATCTGTCCATATCTGCTGGAGCATGTTTCGAAGTTCCTGGAGTGTCTCTAAAACACGTGCTTGGACGTCGAAGGCGCCGATCCATCTCATCCCACATGTGCTCGATTGGTGAGAGATCAGGGGAGCGAGCCGGCCAGGGGATAACATTCACGTTGTTTTGTTGAAGAGAGCAATATGAGGCCGGGCGTTGTCATGTTGAAAGGTAATGCCTGGGCCATGACGACGCAAAAACGGTAGAACAACAGGGCCGATGATCTCATCGCGGTAGCACTGTCCATTGAGATTTGAGAAAACGAGACTCGTCAGTGAATAGAACTTGTCCCCACTGCATGGCCGTCCAGCGTAGACGCGTAGTCTGCACCACTGTAGACGTGCTTGACGGTGATTTCCTATCAAAATGGGACGTCTGGCGGGTCTTCTTGCGAGAATGCCTGCACATTTGAGGCGACGACGTACGGTTTGTGAAGATATTCGTCGAAGGCCAGGGATGCTTCTTGCAGTCACTGTTGCTGGCTGGAATCGATTTCGTAGGCGTGTTGTTCGAATCCAGTTGTCTTGTCGATTATTGGTTACGCGTGGCCTGCCACTCCGAGGATGGTCTCTGACTGCATTCGTCTGTTGCCAACGTTGCCATAACAAATGGTGTTTCTGTTGACGTTAAATTGTCTTGCAACATCACGTTGACTCGATCCTGCTTCAAGCATAACAATGGCTCGCAGACGCTCATTTTCTGACAGGCGTGGCATTTCGTAATGTTGAATAATTGCGTCATTTTGTTGTTTTTTCTGAGTGGTTGTTGTCAGCATGTTGCTAAACAATGCATATGAAATCCCGTTGACGCACGTTTTAATACCCATTTTGGGCAAGTGAAATGCATGGGGCTTGCATAAAAGTCAACTTTTGCATGGAATGCATGCTTTTCCGTAGCAGTTGCGTTTTTGTGACTTCATTCCATACATGTACTACAATATTGAAAACCAAACTTTACTTGTTTGAAAAATACACTAAAATATTGGTGTCACGGGAACTTTTGTTGTTGAGTATATATATTTATTCCGAAGTTACATAATGCATCTTTCAATACATATTAATTAATACATCTCCTCGACTTGAAGGTCGTGATTCACAATTTGCACGTGCATGTTCATGCACGGCGCACAATTTGGATGTTTGCGTGTTTGTTGGGGGTATGATATTCACACACGTTTTTTGGTTTAAGCGTTAAAACCGCTTACGCAATGCCAAGGCTTGCTGAAAATCAACGTCTACGCGCCGTGGGTATGCTGCAAACAGGAATGGCGCAAAAAAAAGTTATTTTAATGTTCATATTATCTCTTTGGAGACGTTATTTATTGCAGGGCAACACTCTTGACTTGCAATGGGACGGTAGTCCACGTGTGACGTCACTTCAACAAGACAATTATATTCGGTTGGTGCATCTGTGGAATGGGTACCCAACTGCCACATAAAGAGCTCGGACAATTCCTGGGTTGAGACCAAACAGAGGCAGAACAGTACGCAGCCGATTGAGGGATCACAACATCCGTCTCCAGCGTTCAGCGATGTGTCCAATTTTGCTTCCATGTCGCCGTCAGCAATGCCTAGCTTGTTGCAGACAACATGTGAGGTTCAGAAGACAAGACCGGAACAGCAGACTGTTTACAGATGATTCCAGGTTTTGAATGTGCACAGCACACAATGCTTGTTGGGGTTATCAAGTGCTCATAAAAATACTTTTGTTAAACCGTAAATGACACTTACCCGATGCCACGACTTGCTGAAAATAAACGTTTACACACTGTGGGTATGCTGAAAACAGGTCCAGGTTTCCTCTTGACAGCTCTGATGCTCGTGCAAGGGTCTGTCTACAAGCGTCCAGGAGAACGTTTTAGCAATGCTTGCGTTACTCAATGCCGTCAGTTTGGGGTGGAAGTCTACTGGTATGGGGTGGCATCACAGCTCGTTTTAGGACATGTCGATCGGTCTCCTTTTACCAGGTATGGTTTTCTCAATGAATTGGTTATGATAAATCATTGGTCAGGCGAATGACCAAATATTATGTTATTTTAATTAACAATACATTTATACCACTTTATATGAAGTGCAGTTATTTTTTTCTGCTAGTATATGAAGACTAACACAGTCTCTGTGGAATCTCAGCAAAATATAAAAATGCTCAGATGTAGCTTGGGACCAGGACCGAATGCGTCATTCAATGAGAAATGCTTGTACCTGCTCGTTGCAGATTCATTTGATTCATTTGATTCATTCTGTGATACTTTGGAAATATACCCTCTTTTCTCAAATTCAGAGATTACCTGCCTGGGTAAAGCATTTGTCTTTGTTAAACATTGTTTCAGTGCTGACAAGTCTTTGGAATGCCATGTCATGGTTATATGGCACCTCATTTCCATGGTAATCCTTCCTAGTAACGATTCTTCCTAAACACTAGTTGTTGCGCAGTGGAACTGAATATTTGAGCGCGGTTTAACTTAAAATGAAAACTAATCTAAAATTTGTATGACTAACCTTTTTTGAATGAAACCAGGAACTAAACGTGATAACCTATTAAAAACTATGAAGATCTATAAGGAACTAAACGTGATTACCTGTTATTATGTGAAGGAAAGATGAATAAACCTCAAATGAAAGAAATTAAATGCTAATTCTAACAGTTACTCATAAGAGAGTCTTAACACTGTCTAACGCCATGTCTAACGCCATGTCTAACACCATCTGTCTAACCATCTCTGACCATCTCTGACCATCTAACTAACGAACTCTCTAACGAACTCTGACCAACTAACTAACCGATGCGCGCTACCGCCTTATATTTGCTCACAACCCTCACATTTCACGTGCAGTCACAGCCATACTTTGGTGTGTTCAGGCGATGCGATCGTTATGCATCGGGTGCGTTTTGGAGAACAGATTCTTTATTTAAAACTAACACGAGTGCACGTGAAGCGCGATCTATAGGCTCCGGGAGTTCGGTCTTGACTGCCGTCGAGTTCGGACATCTTTTGCTTCTCAGCAACTTGTCTAGTGTTATACAGCACACTTGACTGTTTATGATACTT